GGGCACATATGCAAACTGTTGTAATTCCTACACCGTTCACCTGAGTTGGATGTACATACCCTCAAATTAAAACTGACAGTCTGCAGTTAAGGCACATTGTGTTTGTTTCATTCCAAATCCATTGTGGTGGTGTGTAGAGCCCAAGATGTTAGAATTGTGTCGATGTCCCAATATTTCTGGACCTGACTGTATGTGCATATGTGGGTGTGGAAGATGGGGTCTGGGACAAAGAGCACTCTGCCATTGCTCCCATTCCATTCCCAGTGCATGGAAGCAAATGGAAATGAGATTTTTTTAAGACTAGTGGTAAATGCTAAAGAAATGGATCAAGATATACAAACAGCAATGGAATGTAACAGAATATTAACTATATCAGGATCAACAATCTTGTGCCTAATTATATTGCAATGCAACTGAATTTTCACAGTATTAAATTGGCCAGGATAAATGATAGCATAATCCAAAAGTGTATTTTTTTTTATTCCATAATTTACAATAGTTGTGGAAGACAAGTTTGGATTTAAGTTCTTGATCACACTTCCCCAGACTGGTATTCTCCAAGTGTATTAGTTCCCAGCAAGTCAGGCTGAGAAGTATGAAGATGAAGTTCAGTGACACTAGGTAGGGGAAGGCTGTTAGATGTTCTACAAGAAACATTTAAAATGTACAATTCACTTCCTTTTAAACAGGCAGTAACCCATGGTGGTCTACCTCAGGGCCAGTTTAAGAAATTTGTAGGCCCAATGCAACATCAGGTTTTGAGGCCCCTGCCCATACATATCCCTAGATTAACAGAGCAGAGCAAATGGGTTAGTAAAAGATTTTCTGAATGGAATACTCACAGAAACTAAACTGAGAATTAATGATGTGTTTAGAAGAAACAGATACAAAAGACATCACTCAGTGAGATTTTACGTAAGAGAATTGCCCTGTTGGACTGATCTACAGTTGTGTTAACCTATGGGTGAACTTGCCCCCCCACAAAAAATCCACTCAATCCTATCTACCTGTTGGCTAACAGCTTTCTAAGTCAACAGAGAGACCAACCCACTTGAAAATATAATTGTCCTGATTCACCCACTGGCTGACATGGAGCTGTTGGCCTATGAGCAGACCAGCCTGCTTGAAAACCCAATCAGCCTAAAACAAACATGAGGTGATTTCTCTGGGGTGGTGCAATGGAGAGGGGCAGCCACAATCTCTTTATTTTTGGGCCCTCCTTGCTTTCCCCTAGCCACTTCGGCCACTGCTTTGCTCAGAGAACCCTCCACTGTGCTGGGGCCCAATGTAGCTGCATACATTGAATTCCCCTTGAACTGATCCTGATAGACTTACCAACATCTTGTGCAATGCACAAGCCAAAAATAGATGTACGACAGACTTCATATTCCTGTTTACTATTTTAGATCATTATTTGAACTGTGCCCACACTATTGTGAAGACGACTTTATGGAGTTTTATAAGAAAGTGTCCTTTTAAGAAATCAGGACAGCTCCATGGAACTATACTGTAGAAATACTGTCTTCTAGTGTTACTAATGACAGCTCTTAACTGAAATGGGACTGTTGCGCATTGCATCATGTATGTATATAAATTGCTGAGATGTGATGGAATGGAATTATGGAGGCCAGAATCGGGGAGTGAAGAATCCTCTTTCGTCTCCCGAAGCACGGGGAAGAGATAAG